CTGGCTCGCTCGTTCAGGGTGTAGGGTAACTGACGAGCAGGACGGTATCTATGTTCTCGTTCGTCCCAGGGTGATTCCATCGTCGTTTAATTGCTGCTTGGGTTTGGAGACGGCGGGGTTTGAAGGGAAGACGCGTTGGATCACTGTAGAATCCCAGGTTATCGAGTGGTGTGCTATATCGTTCGAGTTGCCTCCTCAGGTAAGATCTGGTACTGTTTCTTTATTTTTTGGTCTTCCAGAGAGGCTGAACAACTCACCTTTTACTGGGGATCGCCTATGATACCTGACGCACTGTTCAGTTAGGATATGATACCACACCTTTTTAGGGCCTCAAAATCAAGTGAGATAAAAGTGGTTTTGTCAACTTATCTTATATAATCAATCATTCCGTCTTTCCCCCCAGAACCCATACCGCCCAGGTATCAACGCCAAAAATGTCCACATCTGCCCCCTCGACCCCTCCTGAGGACCCAGGCCTCTTCCGCTGGACCCTAAGCTTCCTACTTGTCGGTATGGCCTGGTAAATAACTTCTATCCCCTCCCCGGTCCTCTACCAAGCTAACCCTCATAGGGGCCTAACAAATCCGTACCTCCACCCTCACCCCTCGCACTCCCTACACGCAACTAACAACTCCTAGCTTCATTCGCAAAGCCGCGGTAGCATACAACCCCCCCAAGCGTGCAATCCTAGAAAATCCACAGAATGGTGTTTTGAAGGTTTGGATTTTGAAGTGTGTTCTCCAATTACTGAGTAGATAGGTAGGGTAGGAAGGGTGACTAATGAGGTGGAGGGGGGGTGATTTAGGGCGGCGTTCGCGATGTACGATTTATTAAGGAGACCTGCTTACGCTTTTCCATTGTGTATGTTTTTTTGTTTTTTTTCCTTTCTCTCCTATTCTTTGAAGGGAGGGGGTGAAGGGCTGATGCGATATGCGACGTGGGGTAGTGATCAACCTGACTGGCTCGGTGTGGTTTTTGTTGTTAATTGGGGGCGCTGGTATCATATGATATTTTTTCTTTCCTTCTCTTCTTCCTTCCTTCCTTCGGGTGAGGCTAATGTGGGGTGTGACAGAGCTGAGTTTGGCGGTCCCGATTGTGAATTCGCTGGCCTTTTTGTTTACGGTTTTGGGAGATTGGCTGGCTGATGGGAAGAGGATCCATAGAGGTTTGCGTTCCTTTTGCGCTGCTTTAGGTTACGGGTTGCGCGGGATGGGGGGCTAATGGGGGTGATGATAGATACTTGGATTGGAATGGTGTTGGTGCTTGGTGGGATTGGGCTCTGTGTGCATAGTAAGCAGTGAAGGAGTGAGGAGGAATTGCGAGATATATATATCATGCCCCGTTTCGAGTATTGGGTTGAGGGGGAGGGTTTCCTTTTTTAAATAATGATTATGATAGATGGATGAGGGCTATCTATTATTGGAGAGTGATATGCTTAAGGAGTCGTGATCTATTGTATCATATCACACAAGTATGATATGATACGATACCCATGACCACCGCCGACCTGCAGAAGTTTGGAAAAGCACTCGCCGTATGGTACAATCGTACAAACCGCAACCAAGTACTGTACAGTACATACCCCAAAACAGTATAGTGCAGTACAGCAACTGATGCTAACGAAAAAAAAAGCTGTCCACCATGTTATATCATAGTAGAGTATGATAACACGATAATTCTTGACTCCTCTACGACTACCATACACACCTCCAGCCAAACCACGCTAATGCGCCCGGAGGGTGGGTCAAATGGGGGGGGTTGGAGTCAGTTGTCGATATCATAGCTAAGGAAGGACTCCTCGCCGGTAAGGGGTAATAATATATGGCGACCGCTTCTATCGCACAGTGTCATAGAGATCTCGATATCTGCCTTTTTCCTCCCAGAGCAGATGAGGGTGGCTTTTCAAAAAAAAAAAAAAAAAAAAAAGGAATTGGAAACCACATGGAAAATTAGTAATTTATGATCCATTCCGTTCGTCATGGGATGTCTAATCATGAAATGTCACTCGTGAAAACGGTTTGCGGGCAAGGAAATGTTTGGATCGCCACCGGAAGGTGTGATGGGGATTTCCCGGATTAATTGGTGTATGTATTGTGGATTGTGTTGCGGGCTGGGATAGATGGGAGACGAGAGGATTCTGGTGGCAGGTACTCGGGTGGCGGAAGTGTCTTGCCTGACTTTCTGGGCGGGACAAACTGACCCTGGATTACATAAAAAAGGTCCTCGCAGATGCCGTATCATTGTATGACATCTAGACATCCCTCCAACAGACTACGCATTCAGGCCTCCCCCACTCCCAATCCTTGGCTTCATTTGTAACAGGAATGGTGTATTCGGGACCATCGCCCACTTTCCTTGAATAGCAGAGTTTCTCCTGCCCTCGCACCACCCCCTTCCTCTCGAACAATCGGCGAGTATCATATTATTATTATTATTACTCTTTCTTCTCCTTCTCACCGCTTGACCCAGTATCACACGCACAACACAAGCTACAATGGATTTAACTCGGCCATCGATGGTATCAAATCCACCGGATGCTCCCTTCTTGACAGCCAGTCACACGTTACGGATCACGATACCACTTCCGGAACAGAAGTCAAGTCACTGGCTCGTTTTTACCCCAAGCCGCGGATACCCGCTTTTGCCAATTCGACCGGAGGTATTGTACCTGTATTATGGTACCGGTATTCGAGCACCTTCATCCTATATCAGAATAGGCAAGTGGGGAAGTGGAATGCAATGATAACGTAGCTGCCGTACCCGCGAGCTCACTCGACCAATTACTAGGCTCGGATCGTCATCTTGCTTCCCAGGCATGCCATCTCTGCATCTGCAGCTCCTCAAAGTGCGAACCAGTTTGCTCATGCAATTCTACCCTCCTTTATACTCGAGTGGCAGCGTCCACCCCGCTCCAGTATCAAACACCGCACACTATAATCGCACATTATCAGTCTCCCCACTGAAAAAGATAGGCCTAGCCACCCACGCCGTGCGTCGTCCGGTGCGCTGCGCGGTAATTCACCTCCAAGCCCGAGAACTCCTAATCCAACCACTGAGACGCCTTACAAAAGCATCTGGCAAGCACCACGATTCCCAACGCAACGAGATGCCCTCCACCACCCTATATAACTCCGGATATGGACACAAGCAAGCTTGTACGAGTATTATTGTACTGTGCCTTTCCCCCACCTTCACCACCACCCAACTCCATCACGCGCATGTGAGGGATCAGCCTTAAGAAGCATAACTCCTCCCATTAATATCTAGCATCCCATTCCGTTTACGCAGTCAAATACCGACGACCAATGGCCCGTATCGTGAGGTGAAAATGCACTTCTGGACGCTATTTAAACACATTCTGGAGGCAGCCTTATTCAGTAGCGTGCGCTGCTCGAGCAGTCTTATGCGTGGCCGGTCCGAATTTCGATCTGGGCTGGGGCACAATGGAAGGAGTGGTGTTGGAAAAAGTCGGATTGGTCGCTGGTAACGTCGGGATGGATCTTTTTCTTTCTTTCTTTTTTTTTCCCTTTTCTTTTTTTTCCTTTCTTTCATTTTTCTGTTTTTAGTTGATTCGAGGTGGAGCTGCAGTGGGAGTCAGGATTTTGGGGGAGCTGGGCCTTTCTTTTCTTTCTTTCTTTCTTTTCTTTTCTTTTTCGGTGGTGGTGGTGGTGGTGAGGTGTATTCGAGTACTCGAGTATATTTATTACCGGTATATAAGGATTTGATTGTTATTTTTGATAATGGGTTCAATATAATTTATAATGGGTGCTTTTGCATCCGTTAGAGTACTGTACGTGGTCTATTCTGATAATGATAGGGCCATCAAACGTACGGTAAGCGCTCTTAACTCTAGAGCCATGGATGTCGAAGCGGGCACGATGAAAGCTCTGGATTCCGAGGGGAGCCACGGCGCAGCACTCGAAGATTATGACACAGTATTGCACCCACGTATCATATCAGGAGCAAAGAGGCTCACGCCACACCGGTAATATATCGGGGTACAGTACAGTACCGGTAGAGTATAGTATATCCCACGGTGGTGCGTCCGGCCAACAAGGCACGGTGCATAGCGTATCTTTCAGGTACAAGGGTTTTCATGTTCATGACATTATGATAGCCGGTACCGGCACTGCGGCACTGTGAACGAATAGGGTGGAGGATGGCATACACTTGCTGGAGTAGTCAGTGGGTGAGTGTCGTGTGTCCTCGAGTATGATATATAATTGTACATACGCAATCGATTGGTAAATTAATTGGCTTCGAGCCTGATGTGCGAATTGGATTTGTTTTTGCTTAGCCGGGTGGAACGTGGTGGGGTGTCGAGGGCGAGTACGAGTACTGTACAGTATCATACCAGTGGGGATGGGTGGTATTGATATTTGTTTGGTGGACGGTGTCCGGGCGGGTAGTCTAATGTATCATGGGCTCTCTCAGGAAGGGAGAGGAATTCCTTGCAGGGCTAGAGAGAGTGAGCGAGTGATATGATATTCGTAACGCTATCGTAGTATGATACTGTACTCGTACGGTATCATAATAGTGGTATTGTTATTTATTCACCACGGCAGACTACCCGAGTAGACCGCCATCGAAACAGGCCTCCTCCGTGTCAGCTCCCTCCGGTCGCCGGTAACTTGGGGCGCTCGAATACTAGTATCATACCGGTATTTGGTCTCCAGTGGTCGTGTGTAAGGGTGGGTATTTAGAGCCCGGCAGGCTAACAACTGATCCTGATCCAGGGTGTTGCTGGAGCAATCGCCATTTCTCCTTTCGGAAGTGGTCCCGACCTTGCGCCATCACCAAAAAATACTCACCTGTCATCACTCGAACTTCCCACAGTACGGTACTTGTAAAATCTGGTTTTAGTTTATAATTATATAAATCACTGTAAGTGCTCCAGCCCCTGGTGGAGGTGGGCCCGAATTTTTAATCAATCCCGCCCCCAGCACTCCTTCCTTGAATGAACGAATGCACTCTTGGCAAGCTCCCTCCCGCTTGGTCACTCCACAAACCGAAGTGGATGCAAAGAACAACTCATCGCTTCCCACCCCTCATTGAATCCGAAGGGCTGCCTTTTTTTTTTTTTTACCCTTTTTGTTTGCTTTTTTTCTTTTCTTTCTTCCGGTGGGGTAGGGTTGAATTTTTTTTTTCCAACGGAACCCGTTATTGGTGCTTTGGGTGAGGGAGTTTCTTGCTCGCAAAAGTATGGTACAGTACTGTACACTCGAGTACCTATTACGATAGCCCCAGGGTGATGGATGCACCGGTAGGTAGGTATGATACTCTAGTAGATTATGCTTTGTATCGGTACCTGTTGGACCAGGAGCATAAGGTGCGCGCACGTTTGCTAACCATACCGTGCCGGCACCGGTAGTTGATGAGGTTACAGTATGATATCAGAACCTCCCCTCCCTGCTCCCTTCCTCCCTCCCTCGGGTCCATCTGGGGTGGGGGGTTCATGATTTCGTGGGGTGAATGAGACATGTACTCGAGTACTGTACGAGTACGGTAGGGAAGAAGAAAAAAAAAGAGAGAGAGAGAGAGAGAGAGAGAGGAAAAAAGTGTGGCTGGTGTTCTCCACGAGTGGGAATTCCTTGATAGTGGGTAAAAAACTCGGCTGTTCTTGGTCCGTTTTGGAGCACAGCCAATATCAAATGAAAATTTTGGGGAGGCGGGGCGTTGTTGGAGGGGGCTGTTACTTGTATTCCATGATACGACACACACGACACAGCTAATCACGGTAGAGTTGAACCGCCCAGAATTGCAGAAGCGGAGGTTACTTTACCGCCACCGCAAAAAAGTTTCTCTCAGCCGTAATTCAACCTGTTGCCTTTTTGCGGGCCAGCGGACCAAACGTGCCCAATCGGGAAAGGAGGAGAAAAAAAAGGGAAGAAAAGTCTTCGAGTACTCGTACAATACAGGTACCGTACAGTACAGTACAAGCGCGAGTTGGCGTGAGTCCGCTCGTGATCTAGCCCGTCCATCCTAGCTCAGCCGAATATCGCAGGCGAGCGGGCAGGGGACAGAGACAGGACCCTTTGCTCACACCGCCGCCACCCTATTAACTTTATGGAGCATTTTGTTTACTCCTACACACTTCCCCTTCCAACCCCCTTCCCCAATTATCTCCCTATTTGTTGAAAGAAGGGTGTGTGAGGGAAAGTGTCAAAGTTCTAATAATTTACCGTATGATACCCTTCTCCCGTCTGCCGTTGGTTGAACGGTTTTGGTTTTTTTGCTTTTCTCTCTCTCTCTCTCTCTCTCTCTCTTTTTCCTTGAATCTTACCTTCCACCCCCCCTCTCCAGTGCTTGCTTTACCTCCGTAGTCTACCGGTACTCGAGCGCTGCTTGTTGCTGTGCGGTCAGCTTTCCTTTTCAGCCAGCCCGGCCTAACCAATACCCGTAACCACTCTGCTTAGTTTTATCCTTTTGCATCAGTTTTTCCTCGCGGTTTGCTCATCCTGATTTTTCAATTCGAAAGTTGTTGCTTTGCTTTCTTCTTTCTCTCCTGATGGCATCGTAACTCAATTACAAAGTCCGTCATAGAAAGCAGCATCTACCGGTAGCAGGGGGCTAGGAGTTGGGGGAAAGAACGCGAGGAGCACTGGTACATACAGTACCGTACCATACCCTACTTGCACCGTAGCAACAGCAGCAGCAAGCAGCAGCAGCAAGCGGAGGCATAAGCACGCACAAGCAGGAGGGAGCAGCAAGCAGAAGCACCACCACCACCACCACCAGCAGCAGCGACACACAAACCGATATCCCGATCAGTGAGAAAGGTGAGGGTGAGAAGAGAAGCGAAGAGGAAGTCATCAGCAACAACAACAAGCATCATCATCCATCATCACCATCCATCATCACCATCATCACCATCATCATTATCACTGTCGCCATCACCACCACCATCGTCGCCCTCTTGCATTCATAGTCTGGGAAATCAGACACACCACTGACGTGAGTGGAGTGAGTCTCTTTCTATTTTTCCCAAATATTTATTTATAATATTATTATTCTATTCTTTTGGTTCGTTCGTTCCCTCTTTCGTTCGCTCCATCCCACCACCACCTTCCTTCCTTCCTTATTCCTACTCTTCTCCTTCCTCCCATTCGGCTACCCGCCCCAACCAACCAACGAACCGTCACCTGGACCTTCTGTCGCTCATTACCAGCAGCGGCCAGTCCTTCAGAGTACTCCTCCCACACCCACACACTGCATACACACATTCTCTCTCTCCCTCTCTCCCCATTCCCTTCCCTCTATTTTCGTCGGATCATTTCACCGTCGTTGTCGCTTTAGCCTTCTATCGTACTCATACACTCTTACCCTTTCCCTCTCCCTCCCGCACTTTCTCCTTTCAAGCCCCCTCCCCCCTTCGGTCCGCATTCACTAAGCCTTTTGCCCCGATAGTTCGCCCCTCCGTCGCCGGTCCTGGTCGGCTTGGTTGAGCTAATCGCCAAAATCGACGCCGAATAACGTGGGAGTCGACCCCAAGTGGAAAGGTACCAACTCAATTCGCATGGCAACCGTTCTAGTGCTGCTTCTCTGACTTGTCGCTTGCACCTAGGCTGTACCCTACCTGTCGGCTGATTTGGATACACCTCAACGAAAATGGGCCATACCGCTGAGCCTTCGATGGTCAGCTCTCAGGGGAGCTACACGGCAACGGATCTTTCACGAAGGACGGAGAATACAAGTTACTCTATTCCAGAAGACGGACACCCTGTCACCATACAAACCTCCCGGAAGAAGAAGAAGGACCATGAGGTGACTAGTGCTGTTAGTACGGTTGGGCATGGAACAAATGCTTCTCTTCTCATAGAATACTTTGAGAGTGGTAAAGCCAGTACTTCTGGTCGTCGTCCCAGTGTCCGCGTCAAACTTACTCCAGCTGCGAAGAAGCGCCATAACTTTAAGGCGTCGCCCGATGGTCAAGGGCTACAAATTTCCGACGTTGGATCAAGGCCTGGAAGCAGACAGGATCGCCGGCCATCGCACACTCAACGGGTATCGCTGTCTCCACACGTCGGGGAGGATAGGATGATTATGGGTGAGCCCAATCACAACCGTTCTCTCTCCGGTGACCAGACGTCGGTCATTTCTTCACAAACTTCCAATGCGGACGATTCTAATCTGAGTCACTACCCGCTTAATGTCACCGTCATTCGAGAAGCCGGCAGTCCCCGATCCACCTACAGCTCACCCCGCGAGATGGAGGAAACCGAAATTGCCTTCCGTACCCGCCGGCGACCGAACAAATCTGGCACACGGAGCCATACCGAGGGGTATCAGAAGGATGTGTTGAAATCAGCGCAGAAGGGAAGGAGTAGAAGTGTTAGTAGGGAAATTGATGTGGCTGGAGAAGCAGGGCTGAAGACTGCCAAATTGGGCCGGAGAAGAAGTCGAAGCTTGAGCAAGGAAAGATTGTCCATGTCCAAGGAGGAGAAGCAGATGATTGAACAGGGTGTGATGGAGGGCCTTGAGAAATTGCGTCTGCCCAAACAAGGAAAACAGGGCAGCCGCGGTGGAGGCAAAGCAGACGCAGATCTATTGAAGGCGCCTCGCATGCGAAGTCGTAGCAGAAGCCGGGATCGCGAGGTTGATGAAATTGCTGCTGAGAAGCTCCGTCAAAAACGGAAGGCGTCTACTGACGCGGAGCGGAAGAGGTCCGCTTCGAATGTCACTAACCCAGCACTCCTTGAACTCGTCGAGGATGCCATCAAACGCATGATCCTGCCACAACTTAACGAGCTGAAAAGCGCTCAGAACCAAGCAAAGTTTGAACAATCTCTCTCACCGACATCAACGCTCGATCGACAGGGAAGTACGAAACGGCCCGATAAGACTCGTAGCATGCCAGATGTGAAACCTATGGTTGTTCTATCCCCCGACATTGACCAAGGGAATGGGCAAGGTGTAGTCATTTCTGGCGGCGGCAGGGATGGCGATAATCAAGAGGTAATCGATCAATTTATTGACAAAATCCTTGTTATTGCGGGTGGAAACGCTGATTTGCTTTCACAAAAGTCTGAGGCGTCGTACCCGAGGGGGCCCGGGTTTGGTGGTGTGAGTCCATCGGTTCATTCAGTTGAGGATGGGGAGGGTGTATCTCTCGTTGGAGCTGTGCCTGCTCGTGGTAATCGCGAGAGACTGGAGATGCCGGATCATCCGGACCGACTAGATACCCCGGGGACATATGCGGAGACCAGGGCATCCATTCTCTCGGCAAATTCTGGGCTTCCCTACCCGAATCAGAATGGGATGCCGGCCTCTGGAAACACTCCCCCACCAGTTCCGAAATCAGAGTTCCCAGTGTTTAGTGAGCTGAATCTTCGCTCGAGGGCATCGAGCATTGTTTCCGAACGTACCGGCCTTGATGACCATCGATCGAATGCGAGCAAGCGGTCCCTGGCTGGCGAGAGGGGCATAAATGAGCCAAGCATTGTTAGCTTTGCACCGGTTGGAGATGAGGAAGACGGCAGGGATGACATTAGCTCGGTATCGTCTGGTTCGAGACGGAGTATTGGTTCGCCAACAACCCTAGCCCCGGGAGATGCTGCTGTTTCGATCTTATCCATGAGTTCAACACAGAGCACCAAGCTAGCTAAACAGAGGAGAAAAGGAAAAGGAAAGGGTGGCGAAATGTCTGGAATTAACGAGGCTGATTACCACGAAACATCTGGAGGGAATCAGGTGGTCAATGATTATTTTGCCCAAGTGCGGGAGATGGCTCAATCTAAGGCACTGCAGGAACCGAGAATGCATGACACTTCTATTGAGGCTCGGCATGTCTCCACTTTTACTGGTAACGATTTCGATGATAGCCACATGGAGAAGTTTGATGGCCAACAAGTATTCTCTCTTGGCGCCAACCCATCCATGAGATCAACTCCAGTAGTCGCTGATTCCGTTCAGCCGTCCGTCCTCGACGCTCCTTCCAACGTCGGCTCCAACCTCTCCCATCGTCAAAGTCCTCTTCCTCAGTTAGCTGCGAGTGCACTACCAGAGTTTGATGATCCGATGCCTGAGTATGGGCGCATGGCCGAGGATGATGAAGAGATCAACACCAACCCCTCAATAATACAGGGCCCCGGACGTGAGCCCGAAGACTGGCGTTTCGACCCGCCAGCTCAGTCGGCCAATGAGCTTCATCTTGGCGGCGACCGTGGGATGGGTGCAGATGACAACTTACCCCCATCGCTTAGAGCAGGCCAAGGCATGTCACCAACTTCACCAGCACTTAAAGACGAGGGCTACATCTCTGCAGCAAATCCGGGGATGGCCTCGCCTAGTCCTATGACGCCTGTTCAAAACGTGGGTGATCCGTCTATGGGGATGGGAGCGATACGTGGCACCGGTTCTGAGGACGACAACTATTCATATCACGGTCACGCAAGGATGGCAAGCGGGAATTCTCACGGAATGCCTTCACCATTATATGACAGCTCGACAGGTAGGGGTATCGACAGAATTCAGTCAAGGGACATCGTCGCTTTGATGGATCACGTAAGACCTTTCCAAGTTCGGGTAAGTTTAATTTTTTTTCGCTAATGCTGTCTTTTTGCAGCTCACCGTTCGCGATGCGCAACGAAACGCGCGAGACACCGAGATTTTAGTCACTCTTGTCCGGAGCGCAGCGGAGATGAGGAACTCTTTCGAAGATATGAAAAAGACTCTTGAATCGCAACAACATGCAATCATAGATGGCGTCGACCAGAATACCGAGAGAAGTGTTCAGAAGGTCCTTCAAGGGCCGCGACCACTACCCCCATCCGCCCCTAGAGCACCTCGATATCCCAAGAACGACGACGATGCTGAGGATGAGGGCCCGGCTAAGAGACGCAATGTTTTCCGCAGAGCGCTTAAGGGGCTCAGCATGAGAAGCTCCAACGACTTACAAAGGATCGAAGAGATGTAAGCTCCCCCCGGAATTTGCGGGGCTCATCGGTTTCCGTGCTAACCAAGTTAACTAGGCTGCAGACTCTTTTGGGAGAAGTGGAGGGATTAAAAGGAGGCCAGAATTTTTATCAGCAAAGCTTGCTGCAAAGTCAGAGTATGGGAACCTTCGACGCCATGAAAAGTGTAACTGAGGGCCAAGATACCAACCCAAATTCTTCAGGTGGGAATTCAGGATACTGCAGCGGCGCCCCTTCCAAGCAACCCAGCAGCTCCAGAATTTACCAAGACGAGCGACCGCATCAACCCACCCGCATTTCCCCGATAGAGGAAGATACCGCTCTTCGAACTCCACCACGCTCGAGAGGAGGCTCCATCCCTCTCGAGACACCTCCCGATGCCAGGGCCCCGCCAACGGCTTTCAGCAATGAGAACACCCCGACGAAGTCCGAGAAGCACCAAAAGCGCGAATCGAATTCTTCCTCGCTAAATCCTAAGAATAAATCTAGGTGGTCGGAGACTACCGCGTCTTCGGGATTTAGAGCAATGTTCGGGCGTGGTAATCGTGGTGAATCTAGGTCTGATGTTGATCTCTATGACCCTTCCATTCCGAAGGACATGCAGCAGGGATCGGCATACTCGGAGGAGCCAGCAGAGAGAGCACACTCTCCTCATCCTCCACCCTCATCCAGAGATACTGATGCCCCGATAAATCACTCTAACCGCAGGTCTCTTGAAGTGCACCATCCTCAACCTCGCATCCCGTACAACCACCAACTGGAAGCGCAGGCACAACAGCTCTTGGCCAATGGAGTCATTCCTAATTCGCCTGGCATGAATGCCTCTACCTCGAGTCTTGGGACCTTGCCACCTTTGGGCCCTGGTGGATTTTCGAATGGGAAGTTGGTGTCTCCTCTGGCTCGGGATGCCTATGACCAGCACCGCCAGCAGCTCCAGCAGCAGCAACAGTCACCTAAGGGACCATCCATCCCACCCAGGGTTAAAGAGGACCCTATTACGCCTGCCCCCACGGGTGACGATCCTTCCGTCACTTCTCGATCCGATAGAAAGAAGAAGCATCGGGAAAGAGACGAAAATGGAAAGAAGCCCAAGAGGACTGAGGAGGAGAAGGCGGCACGCCGGGAGAGGAAGGAGAGGAAGGCGCGTGAGAGAGAAGCAGCAGGACTTGATTCTGTTTCATCCACCTCCAGGAAGAAGTCGCGGGATCAGCTGTCCCTCGATGGTGCTACTGGGCGTCATGGAGTAAGTTCCCTCAAGGAATTCGTATTCTCACAGCACTAATACTTATTCCGTTCCTATAGGATGTTGTTTCTCCACTTTCCGCCAGATCACCTTCCATTCAGTCCAGATTGAATGGACCTCGTCCTCTATCGAGCAATAGCAATAAGGAGAATACCCGAAGACATAGACACCAGGGTTCACAGGGCACCGTTGGTAAGCTCCCACTTGCGATTCTTTCCCCATCAGACAATCAAAAGGCTAACTGTGCGCAACAGATACCTTTGGCAATCCAGAATATGATAACTACGGCTCCTACCGATGATCTTGATGCATAACCTTCTTGAGCGATTGATGTTTTTTTTTCCTACCTGGTCTCTTTGTTTTGCTTTGTTTATTTCATCATGTGGGCGAATGCTCAATTTTTCTCTAACGATATCCTCTCCCTCGCCCCTTCTCTTGTTCACGGGGTGCAAGCACTTTTTCTCTTCCCTCTTTTTTTCACTCAAAGTTTCGTGATCTTTACAAAGCGAAAACAAAGTTTTCACCATTAGTCGTAGTTACCCGCTATTGCCATTTATACCACTAGCTTTTTTCCTTTTTTTTTCCCCTACCCTCTTTCGTCTTTCCTTCTGTTCTTTCCCCTTTGCAAAAACTAGCGAGGCACGCCTTGTCTTATTTGTCTGTTCGATTTGGAGTGACTGACCGGGCGAAAAAACAATTGGAAAAAAGTCATCGATTTATCATAATGCACTTTTCCCTTCCTTCCTTCCTACTTTCCTTCTCTCTTTTTTTCTCTGCCAACCAAAAAGAAAATCGAAGAAAGTCCAAAAAACTGGAGTTTGGGTCTTTTGTTCTTTTTCTTTTTTCTTTTTTCTCGCTTCATAGTGTCATTGTTATACTTCTCCATGGGGTTGAAAAGTAAAGGAAAAACAATTGAGAACGAGACCTCGGTATGAGAAAAAGTTTGTAGTTGATTGTATTTTTTTCTTCTACCCTTTCTCTCCCTCTGGTTAGTGAAAAGTTAGATGGGTGATTCGTGAGGTGGGCGGAGATGGACGCATGCATGCATGTACTCGTACTCTATGTATGTAATGTCATTAATTTTGGGATGATTGAATGATAATATGGTACGAACGCCCTTATGAACCATAGGGGATAATTTATCTTGGGGAGAGTTGATGTAGTAATGATGGCTTGGCCTCGTATGCGGATCGTTTGCGCTTCGAACACAGTACCAGGTGACAGCGGCTAGACCGTGGGAACCCTCAGCGAGGCGCGGCGAGACTTGGCTGCAAAAAGCTCCTTGATTTTAACTACAGTAGCAAGCAGCCTAGCCATGCCGCGCCTCGCTGAGGGTTCACACGGTCTTTTTTTTTTCATCCGAAACGCATGGCCGATCTGTCTTGGCGTGGTTTCACCACCTCGAGTTACTCGAGTAATGCCTTATCTGTGCTTGGAACACTACGATACTCGTACAGTAACGTAATACCAGTTCTTTTTGCTCTATCGAGTGATATCACGTGAATTGTATCGGTCGGGGCTAACTAAATTTTGATTTATCGAGACTACAACTTAGGTTACTGTACTGTACTATCTCCTTCCTTAAAGCGCCGTCGCGGTAACGAACGCCAAGGTGAATATATGCCCACTTTTTTCTTAGAGAGAGGGGGTAGTAGAATCATGGTCAGCCTCCCCAGGCACGAATGCCGACAGAGGACTGTTAGTATAGAATTCTGGTCATGATTTTAGCTGCATCCATCATACGAGTTAGTGCGTTGAGCCCGAGGATAGTCTAAACGGCGTTAAGAAATTCGGAATCTCACAACTTAGGACTTCCAGCTTAGTGTACAATGCTTTCACCTCTGCGGAATCGACCTTGCTAATGTCGGCCATCATATACGCGATCTATTGCGGCAAAAATGTTTGTCGTTAGCGACCGTATATGGTAATCTAGCTAAGAACTCCCGAGCACGTATACCTACATCACCACGACTATCAGAGATTTGCTTCTCTACGTTATAATCCCCGAGAATATTGTTGACTTGTCTCAACACACCAGGGCGGTTCTGGTGGATGAATATGACACGGAGATGGCTCACTTCAGCCACGTTTAGGCTCCTGAGAGTCACTTCAGGCATATTGGCGGCTCCAGTGGTGCAGCCGGAATTTATATATCTGAGTAATGCTCCACCAACCTCAGCGCCGATAGCTTCCTGAGCTTCTTCTGTCGACCCACCAATATGAGGTGTAAGAATAACGTTGGGAAGGCCTCTAATCTCTGTCACCCAACGAGCAAGGTCCTCATTGAAGTGGGGACCATCAGCAGGGGGTTCGCAGGGGAATACGTCGAGAGCTGCACCAGCTAAGTGACCGGAACGCATGGCTTCACTATATTTTTAAAAAAGATAAATTAGCTATTAATATGATAATTATCATAGCATGTCGGATAAGGGGGGCTACCCTAAGGGCGGGGGATCGTACCATAAAGCCTGGAGATTAACTACACATCCACGAGAAGCGTTGATAAGATAACTCCCTTTCTTCATCGCCCTTAGCTCCGCGCGGCCAATAAGACTGTGGGTCTGCGATGTTTCAGGAACATGGAGGCTAACAAAATCTGATGAGGCCAGTAGTTCAGTTAAATTTTTAACTTGTCTTGCTTTGCCAATTGCTACCAAAGGAGCGGCATCACAGAAGAGGACGCTCATCCCCATCGACTCAGCTAAAACAGACAACTGGGATGCGATATGGCCATGACCGATGATGCCTAAAACCTTTCCACGAATCTCTCGACAACGAGTGGAAGCCTTCTGCCAGGTGCCAAGGTGCATTTCCATAGATTTATCGCCAATTCTACGAGCAAGCATGATAACTTCGGCAATTACCAATTCAGCAACCGAACGAGAATTGCTGAAAGGGCTATTGAAAACAGCAATGCCGCGTTTTGCTGCGTATTCTAGATCGACTTGGTCTGTCCCAATGCAGAAGCACCCAATTGCCAAAAGGTTCTTGGCATGATCAAGCACTGAAGCAGTAAGTTTGGTTTTCGAGCGGATCCCAATAACGTGGACATCTCTGTTCAGGAAATATTAATCGCACATTTAGCAAATCCAGGTTAATGAGGACAACAGTTGCAATCAGCGATATAGGGAGCGTGGATGCCTACCGAATCTTCTCAATCAACTCGACATCCCGGAGAGAAGAGGTGTGAAATTCCACCTGATATCCTTCCTTTTGCAGTAACTCACATGCAGTACGATTGATGTCTTCTAACAAAAGTATCTTGATGTCGCCGGTATTGAAAGGTTTGGGCTGCTTCTTAGGAACAGCTGGGAAATAGCTGGTTTCAAAAGAGGGACTTGTCCCAGCATTAAAGAAAGCACTCGGCGAAGGGCTACTGGGCACTATCATGTTGGATACCGGTGTTATATCTCTTGGGATTGTCATTGGGGGATTTGGGGGGTTCAAACAAACAAACCCAAGACGGTTTATTCGGGGGTAGAGTATTCAAGGCGAGCAGTAATGGTTCTCTACCTACAGAGAACGGTAGACAGAGATGGGGAGGAGAGCGGCAGCGAGGGGAAGGTGTAGCGTTGGTGGTGGTGGCGGTGGTGGCGGTGGTGTTTGAGATGGGAAAGAACAGAAAGGGCGAAGATGAGGGATGAGGATGGAAAGGATCGTATATGGGGGCCAACAAATTTTAGAGCTGCATAAGCGCAGGGGTTTCCGAGGGAAGGGGATTAGGGAATACGGGGCAGTGGTGTAAACATTAGGTATCATACACGGGCCGGTGCGACGTCTTTCGCGGTATCCTGAGGGCAGACGGGGGGCATAATAGTTGGGGATTCCGAGGCATGGGGTAGAGAGAGGTCTGGAATGATTGCCGAGTATTCTCCAGTAAACGGTAAACTGGATAAGGACGGGCCCTGCCATTTACCGATAATTGCAAAGAATCCGTCGACGAAGGAACCTAGAAACAGATCCGAGTGATTGGGCATGTTGCCGCAAAGTGTCTATCCTATTTGGGGGCTCTGGAAGGAAAATTCTCAGAGAGGGACGGACGACAATCTTGCTTGCACTGCATGTCCTATTCGACAAGCCCGGCTGCATAGGAGAGGCAGAAACTGTTCCGTTCTGACGGTTATCCCACCCATGACCATGACTTCGGCTGGCTATGGCAAGTCGCACCGTCCATAAGCGAGCGAATAGGTTAAAATGGTGGAGGAGACCGGAAGCGATAAGTTTTCGTCCGGCCAATACAAGTAGAGTACAGTTACAGCAGGGGATCGAGATACTCGAATCATAGGGTCGGATGCGCCGGCAGATGATGTGATAGGGTTCACGGGTCGCTGTGCAGTATGATACAAGTACTATCGTAGCACAAACAGTGAACATGGGTTGGTGATGCCGCCCTCACGTACAGTTAGGTGGCTGGTAGGAAGCCGCTGCTGTGGGAAGTGGTATATACAAGCACTCGAGTACAGCCGCATTCGCAAAGTTCTCATACCCTCCCTTGCACCTCAAGAACTATACCAATTGACAACAAGAGAATAAGGAGAGTCTGCTAGATTCCTGTTTTCAGATATGCCTCTAGGGGTATTGAAAGATATTATCACGATTTGTTTTGTTAAGTTATAGGAGGGGAGGGGTGGCGGAGCGCTCCCAAGGGCTGGGGGTACCGGTACTCTGAAGGGTATGAGAAATTTACGAATGCGGTGTTACTCGAGTACTCGAGATACTGGCGCTGGGGTAGATACCAGCACCAGCTTAATCGAGGTTCGTATTGCCGCTTTTGAGTAAAGTGCCGGTACAAGTACAGAGCGTAACAGGACAATGTCGCGGACAGGATAATGTCGCATGCACGATGGGGTAAGATATGAATAATAATTATCATGATGGGAAAGTTTCTTGTTCCATAACACTATTGATGACCTGTCCTCATTTCCTACCATGACCACCGCTACCCTTTCTGCTGCTCAGATTACTGCTCCTTTTATGACCTGCAGATGTACCATGATTTTTTCTCTCTTTTTCCTCCTCTCTCTCGTCCCGTTTTCTTTTCTCAGCTTGTATGTACTGTCCGGTACATAAGGTAGACTTTCCTGCCGTAGGATCAGAGATAATTCTTCCATCTCTTCCAGTACCCGTAAGTCTTTCAAGCTCTGCCCTCACACCTTGCAGTTCTGATATCGCAGTCACTGCTTTTACTCGTGACCTATCTGCTTCAGCAGATAGATCATTTAGCGTCGTATGTAGGTTTTTGAGAAATGGAACTGGAGGATTATTGTGGCATTGAATTTCTCGATCGAGTGAGTTGATAGTATTAGCTGCACGTTCCTGGAGAGAAAGAGTTGTGGTATGAGTAGGATCGTAATCAATAGGTTGAGGAGTTGGTGTTAAATCAGATTGGCAATGAGATGGAAGTCAGGCTTTAACCAGCTCACGGTCAATAGGATAGATACTGGTTTTTTGAAAAGCAGTTACGGGCAGACAGGAGGGTGAGAAGAAGGTTTTTTGACGAGCTGGATGAAGGAATGTAAGAGAGTTGTGTTTTCCAATACCAGTTACACCGGTATTAATTAGGCTGGCAATCTCTAGAGAATAAAAATGCTGTAAGGTCGAAAAAATACCAACATCGAGTGGTTGTAAAATATGCGTAGCATGGGCTGGAAGACAGTGAACAAGAATCATATGATCCCAGCAGAACTCCAATGTATCCAGTCTCATATGTGCTTTAAGACCATCAACTAGAAGTAGTCTCCAATTACCATTTGCCCGCTCTCTTGTTGAGAGTTCAAAAATCTGTATTATCCAGTCATGATAAAGGTTACCATCAATCCATCCATTCTGGGAATGGCCGTAGCTATAGTCCTCCAATGCAGGTACAATGAGTTCTGAATCGAGTGCTGAAAAACATCCCTTCTGAAAGGTAAGTGCTTTGAAAATAACGCATGGCCGTCCCACCCATCCATCAGCTCCAATGCACTCTAAGACAGTAATTAACTCTCTATTACCATCCTGTGTTGCTTTTGCCATTGCCGATGAACATGTATGAGGGTCCTTTCGTACTACTACTCAGGCAGAATTTCCAACTCCAATAAGAAATCCCTTTTCATCCAAATTGTAGAGATTCTCTGATACAATATTGGTAAATTCAAATGCCGTAGATAACTAATATTATCTTAGTTTTTTCTTAAAATTGTTAAAGATAAATATAAAATACTACTTACCTCGTCAAAGAAGTTATCTATAGTACGGCCTTGTTCGGGGGTATTCAGTAGAGCTCTTGCATGGTTTATATGACCGCTCCATTTACTTTCACAATTATGCCTCTTTAACATGCTCGCTATCCAGTGCTTGCCAACTGTGGCAGTTGAGGTTTCAGTTTTACGACATAAAACACAGTTTCCCCAGGCTCGTAATGTGGTAGTTGTAACAGGGAAGTTCATCTTCGCTAACCATTCACATTTTTCAAGCAGCTGAGCTTCTTCCTGGACTTTTACTATATTAGCATTATAATGTATTTTATTTCAGTATCAAAGAAATATATACACGATAAATTCTGTCTCAATTCACACTCCTTGATCCAAGATTTATTGACTCCTCGTGCTCGGCGTTGAAGCATTCTTGGATTAACATTGTACGCGAGTGTACATGCTCGGAGTGACGTAAAGACCTCAGGATGCTCTTCAACTGCCTTCAAGGCTGTCTCAATTCGCTTCTCTTTCTCAAATACCTCCTTCTTTAAGACCATATTCAATTCAACTAAAGAATCTTGATAGAAGAAATCAAAGAAAGTTCAAGGAATAGGGCTGTTGTTGTTGTTGTTGTTGGTTGGATCTATCGGAAAGTGTCACGTCATTGTGATACTACTAGTGCTGCAAGCATGTACTAGTATAATCTGCAAAATTCTTATTGGTTGCTTCAGGTTCTTACTAATTTAATCACAATATTTTTGTCCAGGGCGACATTGTCCTGTCATGCTCTGTACTTCTCTAGTTCACAGCCGAATTGTACAGGTACTATACTGCACAGTATTAATATTGTAACCCCAAGGCACAGCCTACGGCTTGTTAGTTTAAAGAGGGTATGATAATGTAAAGTTACCAGTGCAGTCGGCTACCTCACTACGGATACCCCGTGTCTTGGTTGGCAGGGCGAATGACTCCGGCCATGGCGCAGGATGGGGGGACGACTTCATCATAGCCCTGCCCTGGACTCTTGCCCTGCCTGTCTAATCCAAGACCTTTTTTCCCTCTTCCCTTTCTTTCTCTTCCCTTTCAGATATCATACTCATACGAGTACAAGTATCATACTTAGTCTAGTTCGTGAACCGGTATATTGTGAAAGCGCTCATGGAGATATGAATGCTTATCGAAGGGCATTTCCCGAATTTTTCATCTATTGTGATGGAGAGGCGATAATATCATACAGTCTCTTCCGGTGTTGCGAGATTCCCCAGTTGCGAGAGTGGCGCTGCTACTTACTGTTTTGGTGGCCAGGACTAGTTAGTTATCAGCACATGTGCTCCACCTTCTCTTCACTCAACACCATCATCATGAAACACAAACAACATCAACAAGACAACACATCCGGAGCAACAACACATTTCATCCCTCCTTGCTTAGTGGACAAGAAGGTAATTAAGAGGAAGAAGAAGAAAAAATAAAAGAAAATAAAAGTAATTCCAAATTAATACCTTACAAAAAGGCCAACAAGCTAATAAAATCTAATTGATCATTGTCTGATTCAGACCATCATGTTCAGCTACATGTCCAATACTCTCATTAATGTCCATGGACTCATCGGCCTTCTCATCATTCTCACCCAAATCACTATCGTCAGTTACCTCTAATTCTTCTTTAACGAACTCCACTAACTTATTATCTAACAAGGCAATCTTATCTGCTACTCCATTAATCTTGACTTCAACTTCCTCAATTTTCTAGTACAAGACTTCATGGCAGAGTCCAATTTGAGATCGAGGATTCTGTTCTTTCTCCGCCATTTTTTGTTTCAGTTCCTGAAGTTGGTCCTGTAGGTTGTCTTTTTTACTTTAAATGACTTACTCTCTTTTGTCGTATTTTTTTATACTCTTCACTAATAATATCTTTCCTCCAATATCACAGATCACCTGCTGTCGCAAAGGCTTGTCTATGGGTGGGAATTTTCTTCTGTGCACATAGCTGGCCACTAGCTTTTCGTTTCCGTTCTTGAGATTTTTGCTGAAGTTGTACCTTCTCTGTTAGATGAATCATTATATGGACAAACTGTGCAGAATGAATCAACTTGGTAAGCTTGGACTTATGGATTCGAATCTTGAATGGACTAAGAGAGGGATTGCAAGCTAATTGGAATAGGTTATCGCTTAATCGTTTCAGTGAGTTTGGAGTTGTTGGTGTTGCTGGAATCCCAGGTGATGGAATACGTAATGGGAGGGTTTGAGG